CGAACTTCTCGGACGCGGCCCGGGGCCGTCCCTGGGTAAACCACTTTATTTCGAGGGTAGAGAATGGGGGATTGGTGCGGCCCTTGGCGGAGCAAGCACGCCCCGCCCCGCCACCGACCGAAGCCTGCCGGGCCAAGTTAAGAACGCCAACTAGTAGCTGGGATTTGAGCTTGTCCGCGGTGGGCGCGGCTGTGGGGCGGGGCGGGGATGGGCGCCCTCGGGGGAAGGCCTGAACGGAAAAACTTGGCAGTGAGAGAGGCCCCCAGTGCAACGCGTGGCCCGGGCCAAGGATCGTCAAAGCGTCGGAGGGGCTCCGTGTTGTCTGATGAGGGGAAAAAATATCAGAAAGAAAGTGGAACATTTGAACGCGATGAAGCACCGAAGGGAGGGAGGGGGGTTCATGGGGGAGGAGTATAGCGGTGGTGGAGGACAAACGACGACGAGATAGGACGCGCCTCGCGGGGGATGGCAGCTGGAGCGAATGAAATATTTTGTGAAAGGTTTGGAGGGGAGAGAGGGGGGAGGGAGGGGGCAGCCGCGAGGTCGCGCGGATAAAGGCTGCCGTATAAACAGTCGCCGCTGTGCTGCCTCTGCGGAGTGAGCCGAGTAATGTGGGCAGCCGTGTGGGCTGATCGTAAAGCTGGTAGAGGGCGGGGCGGGGCGGGCGGGGCGGGCTCAGGCAGACAGGAAGCGGGGCGCGGCGGGCGTGATGGCTCCAGCGCGAGGCGAGAGCCCCACCCGGCTCCGGGCCCCGCTATCCCCTTGTTTCCGAAAGAGTCTATTCCAGCAGCCTTGTATGTCTCCAGGGCGTATGTGAGGGGAGATAAAGGGGGGGAGGGGCGACCATTCAGCAGCCATATGATGCGCTGCTGATGACGTGGTTCTTCTTCTTTAGTCGCGTCTCTCTCGCCGCCGCAGCCCGCGGGTGACACAAGAGCAGTCGTCGCGTTTGGAAGAAGGAGAAAGAGAGAGAGAGAGAGGGGGGGGGGGTGTCGAGGGAGGCTCGGCAGGCTAGCGGTACGGGCGCTGGTGGGGGCTAATCACCTTTCCAGCCGCGCCTGTGCACTCGAGTCTCTCTCTCTCTCTTTCTCCCTCTCGGATCTCCACCGGACTGTATGAACGAGTTTAGAGCAACCCGCCCGCGGCCCCGCGCTTGCTCTTTGTGTGTGTGTGTGTGTGAGAAAGAGAGAGAGAGGGAGAGTATGAGTGGGGGTCTGGAACACGGATGAGTGCGGGGGGAGAGTGTTTGAGCAAGTAGTGTGAGTGCGTGGGGAAGACCTCACCCCTCTCTCTTTGCGATGAAGCGCGGGGTGGGTGGGGCTGCGGACTGGAGGAGGCCCCCCTCCCCCCCTCCTTCCGCCGCGCCTTTCCATTCGAATATGCAGTCCGCCAGCTCCAATTTCAGCAAATGCGCGCGGTGCTCTCGGTGCGCTGTCTGTCCCCGTCGCACGCGCTGTCCCCTCGCTGCAGTCCCCTGGGCGCGACGGAGACGGCGTGTCTCGCATGCGCTCTGGGGGGGCGCCACGGGGGATCACCCCGCCGCCCCGCTCCGCACTCTGCCCCGCCCCGCCTCACCCCAGCCCTGCAGGAGCCTCGTTTCGTTCTCCACATCCATGATGGCCATTGTCGGTACGAACGTTTAATAGGCTTGTCTTGGTGAGCAGCGCGGCCGGGTAGTACTGTATGTGGCAGGTCTCGTGAAAGGAATGTGAAGAAGCAGCGGGTGTGTACTTGGAAACAACATTTATTATACGTTCTCGCTGAGATGAGACAGCATGATTGTACAAAAAAATGTGGGCGCGTGAATCTCCTTCATACCGGCCGGTATCACTGAGGGAGGTTCCGCGTCCCCACTCTAAATCGAGAGGGACAATTTTTGTCCCTAGGTTAGATGTATTCGTGCTCCTGTGAGTCACACTTGTGTGACTCACAAATGTGCACATTTGTCTGTATGGTGAGATAATTTGGACCGACAGCTAACAAGTACAAACACCAAATTTTCTCTAACCTAAAGGCAAATTTGTATCTGATTTTCATGTGCGCGAAAGCACACATCGAAGCTTGATACAAAGTTGTCCCTTTACATTTAGAGTGCACACATCTGTCGGCAGTTTACGTATAATTTTTCTGAAACGCTCGATGCCGTCCTCTCCATGAATTGATTGTAGAAAAAGATTTGTCAGAGCACCTTAAAATCAGTCTAGGAACGTTGTGCTCTAATTACGTTTTATCATACATATGTACAGTAAGCAGCCACCGTGTCTGCTAATGAATCATTTAACTATTTTTATTTACCTCGCCCTAATATTTTATTTACAAACAGGTTTAGATTTGAATTTGTCAACAGATAAAATTTGACTTTTTAAGAAAAGCCGTATACAACATTATTAAATATTTAAAAGTTACGCAACTATAAGGCAAAATGATTGCTTTTAAATGGTTTGTGTACTTACATCAAGTCTTTAAATTATTTTCTTATTACAGTGGGCCCTCGGTAATTAGCGCCTCACTTAATGTATCGTGTGAGGTAATATTAGGAAAATTGCACGTTTCGGCTCACCGACTCACCTGCCGGAGGAGTAGGGAGATCGGAGCACGGCAGCAGCGAACGCATGCGCCGTACACTTACCCAAGCTTACCCACACTAAACGTAGCGGCGACAAATATCGAGACTCCGTGTAATACACGCTCGAAGCAAATTGAAAGCAATAAGTACTTGTTTAATGAAGCAGGTTGAAACTTTTATTTAATTAATCTTTAAGTTCAAATCCTACAATATGAGGTTTGTACTGAATGTTAGGTTTTTATGTTTTCGCACTTTTACACCTCTTTTAACTATAAGTAAATTTTTTAAAAAAGAAAATGATATTTAATTCGTTGAGCGTTTGGAAGTAATCATGACGCATTGTCCTCCTGAGCGCCTCACTTATTTGGCACGACTTTGGCCGTTGCAAGACTTCGTTGGTTTGATTTTGACAGAGAGAGTAGGATCGATATGACGTGAGCGAAATCCTTGATTGTACCCATCTTGGGGTAAAACGAGAGGTCGTTTTTCGAGAGGCACTTTATCTTAAAATGTGCGGTCGGCCTAGCACGGATCCGCGCGTCGGGCCTTAGAAAACTGCTCCCCGCAGTGCCATGCGGCACGGGCGAGCAACGGGACAAAACGAAACAACGGCAGTCGAAGGGGGGCAGCAGCAGCAGCATTGAGCAGTCCGGCCGGGCCTCTACTCCACGCCGCCGGCCGCGTGCGACATGCTGGCGAAGTCGGGCAGGTACTGCTGCTGGGCGACGTTGGACAGCTCCGTGTCGATGGCCTTGGTCTCGTCCCAGAGCGACGGCGCCTCGCAGAGGATCATGAAGGTGCCGGCCAGCGAGACGACCGTGAAGATCCACAGGAAGAGCCGGTCCATGACCATGGCCACGAACCGCCAGTCCTGGTCCTCCTGCGCGCACACAAAGAAGGCAAAGGCTCAAGCTCAGCGCAAAACTCTCTTTTCCTTCCCTTTTCTGCACGCCGTTTGTTGGCCACTTTGCCACGCGGAACGGAAACGGAATGTCGTTGCGAGTCGTGTGTCACGCCGGAGCACCTCCGAGTTTTATCGCCGGCAGCAGGGAAAGTTGTTTGTCTGACTCGACCTTCTCGTCCCGCATTAGGAGGCGCGGGACGAGCGGCGGCGGCGCGCGCATCACTCGCGGCCAGGTCGCCGAAGGAGAGGGCGGCGGCGTGGCGGCGTCCTCCTGGCGGCCACCACTGCGTCGCGGCGGATCTGACGCTGACGGCGCCCTATGCATCACGACGACGACTATCGGCCCCCGCGCGCGGCGTTTGAACCCTGACCCTGAGCGCGCGCGCTCTGCAAATATCAGCAAATGGGGATTCTCCTTCTCCTCACGTCCCATACTCCCTTGCTGCTGTCCGAGCCATAAATCAAGATACATGCTCGCGCCCGCCCCCTGCGGCCCCCGCGGCCCCCGCGGCCCCCGCGCCCTCATGGAACCCTCGTTACACATCTCAATCTGGCGCCACGCGCGCGTGCACCGAGAGAAGCTATTAGTCCGTATGACTAAATTCGTGTTGAAGGAAACAAAATTTACTCCCTAAATCCAATGAAACGTTTAATCAAGCTTTTACAATTAAATGTGATCAGCCCAACCAAAAATATTGTCAGACTGATTACTTTATATCAACCTGACTAAATTATCCAATCAACACGATTAAAATTTGGTCGACGGAAACAAAATTTCGTTGGTTTTCTCAACACTAAATTTCGTTGAGTTGAACAATCAGTTTTCTGAGTGTGTGTGTATTGCCGACAGTCGGGCTTCGTAAACTTTCTCATTTTGTCTCGCGCGCAATCTTTGCTTTATTCACAAGAAGTGTAAAAACAAACAGGCACCGCTGCTCTCCGAGGACAAACGCGCCTGTGAAGTCTCACACCCCCTCTCCCCTTCCCCTTAAAGCCCGCTTCCCTCCTCTCTCAAAGCGATTGTCGACCGCGCCGAGTACCTGCTGCCGCGGAAACTCGAACTTATGCCTCCCTCCACAACAACTTTCCTTGTTCGAGTTGGAGAAGGGAACCGATTTTCTTTATTCGCGCTTGAAGGCGCAGGCCAGGGGGATCGCGCAGCGAGCGAGAACGCTCCCACCAAAACCCGCGCGCCAGAAAGGTTCGCGGGTCGGGGAGCGGGCAGCCTGTCTTACGTGTCCTCAGATCGCGTGCATTATTTCGCTCGGAATTAATGAGAGAAACAAAAGGACACTTCCGTAAATTTCTAAAATACTATTTCAGCATGTCGAGATAATTCATTCTTGGATGCAAAGACGAGGAGCTGCGCTCAGTGAGATGCGGGTATAGACTTTTAATTAAACCACGTTCGACACACTTTCATACACGAAGCACTCACCGCGTCGAACTCGTCCTGGCGCTGCATGTGGTGCTTGATGAAGAGCACGTTGTGGATGGCCTTCTCCAGCTCGAAGGGGTACTTCTTCCGGATGGCCACGTCCGATAGACTGTCGTCTAGCCCGGCCAGCACCGAGGACAGGCCTGTGTGCCAATACACAAAACACACACAAATATTATTCTGCCCTCCTTTTTGCGCTTGAGGTTTTCTCTCCGCTACAAGCAGCTGTCGCAGCGCCCCGCTCGCCCAGACTGTGTGATCGTGTTCAATAATTACGCCAAACCACACTTTTCGATCGCGGCGGCGACGACGCTTCCACTCGACGTGTTTTGCCCTCTTTTGTTTTTCTTTTTACCAGACAAAATACAATAACTGCGAAACAAATGCGAGGACACACACGGCCAATATCGGACGGCGTAGGCGATTCCAAACAAAAGTGTGACAGTAACAGAGATAAAAAAAAATGTTGCGTCAAAGAACGGATTATGAAAGCAGATAACACAAATTCAAGATTATTTTTTTTTGCATGCGGTTTGGCATGTCTGATTGAATAGTTGGTAATCGGGAGGTAAAATAATCTATAGTAAAGTCTGTAGTAAATTTTACCCTCTTTCCCCCTTATTTTTGAAATCTTCTAAAACTTAAGGCACAGACCTGTAATTTATTGATTACTGATTGTGAAGAAAAACAAACGATTTTCACACAAGTTATTGCTGCTTTTAGCTGATTTGTGCAAAATTACTACTTGAGTGGTGAACCGTCATGAAAGAAAACATTTGTGAAATATGTAATAACTGCTCTACAAGAGAGGGATGTTGTCGGCTGTGCTCCCGAGGTCGTGCCGATGGCGTTACCTGCGAAGCGGTTGGTGGCGCCCGAGGAGTGGAGGCCGTTGCAGCCCCCGGGCCGGCCCGGCGGCAGGCGGAACGAGTCGGGTGAGGAGGCTGTGGAGGAGGAGGCCACCACCTGCGAGGCCGAGGTCTGCATCTGCCGGGCCTTCTTGGTGGAGAGGCGGAACAGTCGTCTGCGGGGCAAAAGAGTACCAGGTCGCTGTCAACGTGGCCGCATTTCGTCGAGCTGAGAGAGCTTATTCTTAAACTAAAAGTCCCGGGGTGACGCGCGCGTGCTAGTGCGCGTGTTCGTGTGCATGTTTTTGTGCGAAGTAAAATCCCGAATGACCGATGATGTACCTTGTATCATGCTAAAAAGGAACACAGTCTCTAAGGCCCCGGCATAATCCAGCCATTACTTGCAGTCTCCGCCCCCGCCCCCCTTTCCCCTCAGTGCATACTGTGCTGGCTCTACTCTGCCCTGCCCGGGGTCGTCCTCCCTACCTCCTCCCACCCATAAAGTCTAGAGTAGCGATGTAGACCAAACTCCCTCCGCTCGCTTGCTCTCTCTACCCCTCCTCCCCATCTCTCCCCCGGCCCTTTCCTGCATATCGGCGCTCTGACCGGCCGACACACTTAAGCCCTGTGGCGCTGGTTGCGGCGGGGCGTGGCGCCGTGTGGTGTGGTGGGGCAGGGCAAGCGGGGCAACGGCGTGTGGCGGCAGGGTTAATCTGGATAACCTGAAGCCAAGTTGAGTCCTGGACCGGGCGGTCGTAGTCGAGGGCAGTTTGGATGAGGGATGCTAAACCCCTCTCTCCGTCCATGTGGCGCTGTGCTGTGCGGGTGTTGAGTGTGGGAGGCCCTATTCGCGCCACGTCTGCCTACCGATAAAAAAATAATTTACACGTCGCTCCACAATGACAGGTGCGCTGAGGGCGCTTGCCCCTTTTAGACAGAGAGGGAGAGGGCGAGAGAGAG